TTCCCCGGGGTGCTGGCGGCGCTGGGATTCCCGAGCATCTTCCTGTACATCTCTGTCTCCACGTTCTTCTGGTCCGTGTGCTTCTTCACCAGCTTGGAGAGCTCAGCGTGGATGGTCTGGGGAAGAGAGCACAGCACTGCAGTTATCAGCCCCGCACTGTCCCTGCAGTGCAGGGGAGGGGACAGGGACCGCAGTGCCACCACCAGCAGGTCTGATCACCCCAGCACGGTGCAAGAGCTTCATAGAACAGCTTAGAAGCCACAGGGAGGGCTGATGGCCTGATCCTGCCCTGCTCCCCTGCGCTGAGGGGCTGCACCAGGCTGGCATCAGACACCCAGGCTGGGTGCCCTGCGGGTCTGAGTGTCCCTCTGTCCTTTCTGGCCACCCACACCATTTCCTGCTGTCCACAGAGCCCAGGGCTGATGCCAAACATCAGGAAAAGGATTTTCTCCTTTAATCAAGTCAGAAAAGTTTCTGCCTTGGGGACAGATGTGCCTGAGCTCTCCCACTTTTCAGTCTGGAAACAGGCTGGGAAAACGGGCTTGAACTCAGCCTGGTCTGAAGTGGGATTGCAGCAAGACCTGGGCGCATGTCGGTACCTGCCCGGCTGTGCCGAGCAGTGGCGATGGCTGGGGCTGGAGGAGAAAGCTCTGTGTCCTGCGTGGAGCTCACAGGCTCCCAAAAAGCAGCAAGAAGCACGGGTGAGCCGAGGATGTCACCGCCAGCCTTTCGGTGTCACAGCTGTCCCATGCCATGGCCGTGCTGTGCCCTCTGCTGGGGACACCACACTCGATGCCTCCCCAAAACACCAGCACAGCACATGTTGCCTCACCTAGAACCCAACCAGGACTTCACCAGAGCACGCCACGCTCAGCATCGCTGCCTCGAATGTGACACTTTGCAGGTGTGGAGGGTGCAAAGCAGCAAAGCATCTGCAGGCACCTCCAAGCTCACCAGGGCTGGCACGTTGGTGTAGGACAAACATTGGCATCTCCTCCTGCCACCAGAACGCACCTTTCCAAGGAGTCAGGAGAAGGGAGGCCAGGTCTGTAACTGCTGAGAGGTGCTGACAACCCCAGAGAACCAGATTTCCTCATCAGAGGCAGGTGGAGCTGAGCATTTCTTGAGTCTGTTTTCACCAGCAGTAGCCGTAGCCCGTGACTCACCGACGCGTGTTTAACACCGTCTGGAGTGGCACCGCCAGCTCCCCGGGAGTCCCGGCAGCCAGCCGGAAAGGCCGGTCATTTGCTGTGCTTGTGGTTTCACTGGTAACGTCACTGCCGGGCATTTTGATTTTTAACCCCTCTCCAATTAAAAGCTTCATCCCAATGAGCCAGCCAGCAGCAGCCCCACCAACAGTGACGTGCCAGAGACACAAATCTGGTGCTGCCAGCATCGCCTGCGCTGCTCGCTCACCACGGTGCCCACCCTAACCTTGCTGGGAAGTGAAGGGTTTGAGATCCTGCTCACCCTTCCCCACGGATGAGCTCAGACCACGAGCTCTGCAGGGCTACTGAGCACCTGCTTTCAGTGGCCCATCCTACCTGTGACCTTCAGGCACCAGATCATAACACAGATCATGATAGTCTGGTGAAATTCCCAGAAAAAAGGTGGATAAAATGACAGATGCAGTCAAGGACTAAAGCCCACCTCAACCCCATGCAGGCAGCACCTCTCTCCCAGTTCACCCAGGCTGGCTCCTGCTGGGGTCATTTCCTGGTGCTGGATTTTGATTTCTCCTGAGGCTCTGGTCCTGCAACTGATCATTAACCAACAGGAAATTCCTGACCCAGAGCTCGCCCTGGCCTGGGCGCTGGACCGAGGTCTGGGCTGTTCCTGCCGCCCAGTGAATCACACTGCAGGCTGCTGAGCGAGTCCCTGGGGACTCAGCTCTGCCCCAACTTCCTGCAGCCACGGCACGAGTCGCTGGAGCCACCTGGAGAAGCTGGAGCAGCCAGGACTGTACACGCAGGATCGCTGAAGCAGGGATGGGTTGGCAGAGTCCTGCCACCACAAGGACCAAAGGGCAGAGAGGGAATCTCGCAACACGGAGATAAGGGACCCACCAGCCCAGCCAAGCTCAGATGTTGCATCATGGGGGGCATCACCCCACAGCTACCCAGGCCCTGGGGGCTATTTCCAGACTCCCTTCATGGAGGAAGCTGGGAACAGCTACAGGGTGGTCTTCAGCCTTTCACAGGGGACACTGAGATTTGCAGGGACTTAGAAAAGAGTGTCCTGCAGACACCCAAGATCATCACCAAGATGGACACAACAGCAGCCTACCTTGTTTGAAGGCTCCAGCTTCAAGGCTGCCTTTAAGATGGGGATGGCCTCTCTGTATTCACCCTGCTGAGCCAGGACCTGCAAGGTGAGATATGGATTGAGCAGGACGGCTGAGGTCTGTCCCTCGGTCCTGCCCTCCACCACGCCGTGAAGGGACAGCAGTGCCTGGCCTCACCTTGCCCTTTCGGAAGAGAGCCTTGATGTTCCCTGGCTGGTGCTCCAGGACGAGGTTACAGGACTTGAGGGCCGCCTCGTAATGGTCCAATTTAAGCTGAGAGGCTGCCAGGTTGTTGAGACATTTCACCTTCACGTCCAGCAGCTCAGCCTCCTCCTCTGGGCTGAAGTCAACTGCAAAGACCCCAGATCCAGGTTACAGCAGGAAGGGAGCTCAGGCAGCCCTCACCCGGAGCGGGTACCTTTCGAGCTGGAGCCGATGATCTTGAGGGCGATGTCGTAGGAGTTGATGGCCAGCACATAATCTGCTTGCTGGTAGAAGAAGTTGCCGCGCTCCCGCTTGCGGTTGGCCAACTCTATCTTCTCCTTCCCGCTGAGCAGCTCCAGGTCTGGCGCACCGAGCCGCCAGCAGCTCCACCTCCAGTGTGAGGGCCGCGTTGGGTGGGATGTCAGGGCTCCTGCGCAAAGAGGGGGACAAAGCTGTGGCACTGTTGCCACCTCTGTCAGTTCCACCAGCCACTGGGCCACAGAGATTTAGCACCACAGCCCAGAAATCAGAACCACAGGAGCTCACGGGGACAGGGTGCGACGCAGATCGCTCCCCTCAGGCAGGACACGCTGATGTCCCCTGCATGTGGCAAGCGGGCTGAGTGTCCCTGCCCATGGAGCTGTGTCTTGCTAGCTGAGTTGTCACCAGGAGCGCAGGGGACAACTTTCACAGCCCTGTTTTTTGGGCCCATCCTGCTCCACCCCATGCCCTCCCCACTCACC